TCACAGAGATCCACCTGCCTTCAGAGTGCCGGGATTAAAGGCATGCACCAACTTGTCCCTAAAATAGGAGGATGTCTTGACCTCAGTGGTTCCAGTCTAGTTTGGGTAACATAGACGGTCTCAAAGGGATAGGGAAGAAACTTGAGATGGTGACTCACACCTGTAATACCAACACTCAGTATGCTGAAGCAGGCCTGCTGCTAGCCTCTGCAAAAGGAGTTTCAGGCCAGCCTGAGCTAGAATGAGATCTTGTCTCAAAAAAAAAAAAAAAAAAAAAAAAAAAAAAAACCAAGCCAGGAAAAAAAAAAAAAATAACCAGCCAAGCAAAAAATTGTCAGGGGCCGGCAAGATGGCTCAACAGGTAATGGCACTTGCTGTCAAGTCTGGTAACATGAGTTTGATTCCCAGCACCCACATAATGAAAAGAGATAACTCACTCTTGTAAGTTATCCTTTCACCTTCATAGAATTGTTGTTGCTGGCGTTCAAGCACCCCATCCCCCATAAGATAAATAAAAGGAAAAAAAATCCTAAAAACAAATGAAAAATTGGGCAGATTTCCTGGGATATGCCTGTGATCCCAGAACTTGGGAGACCAAGTCAGGAAGATGGAGAGTATCAGACCAGCTTTGGCTACCTAGTAAGACAGTGTTTCAAATAAAATTAAAAAAAACTTTTGGAGAGGTTGTTTGTTTGCTTTCTTAGATAGGGTCTCCTTGGAACTCACATTTCACCTGTTTTCTGCCCTGGAGTAGCTGGGATAACAGGCCTGCCACTACATTCTGCCAAAAGACAGGAAATTTTTAAGAGAGTATTACAGTTGTTTCAATGTGTTAAGTGTCAGGGCTTACTATCTTTGGGATACTTAGAAACTTATACAACACTAGCAAAGTAATACATTGTATAAAGTTAAATTATGTACAGGCTGACTGGCTCACTCCTATAATCCCAATGCTCAGGAGACAGAAGTAGGCAGATCTCTGTGAATTCCAGACAAACCAGCATTACACAGCAAGACTGTTTACCAGTGCTACATAGTCACATTGTTTAAACACCCCCTCCCCCCAATTATGAGCCTATTCAAAAAACACCATTCAACGATGGGGAAGCTGTTGAGTGTAATGGTGCCTGTCTATAATCCCAGTACTCCAGAGGCAGTAGTCTGGGGTTATATAGTAAATTTCAGACCAGTCACAGATATATACCATGAGACTCTGTCTCAAACAAACAGGAAAACAAAACAAAACAAAACAACCTTCTGTTTTTGTTCTTTGAAATACCATATATTATGTAGTCCAAAACTGCATCACTGGAGCTCCCTGCCCAACTTGTAGGCAGCACCAAGGATTTCTTTTCTCTCCCAGCAATTTTTCACTGTTTATATAACTTTACAGGAGGGACCTTTTTAGAGTCTTATAAATTTTATGAGCTTCCAGAGTCTTGTTAGCCTCCTTCCTCCCTCAGGAAGGGATGTTTTGATCAGGAGGCAGAGGCAGACAGATCTCTCCCAGGTCAACCTTGTCTACATAGCAAGTTCTAGGCCAGATGGGGCTATAGAGAGACCGTCTCAAAAAGCCAAAAACCAACCCCCCCCTCCCCTGCCACCTCCCCCCCAAAACATAAAAAAATACCAAAAGGGGCGTCCTGTGTACCTCACTTTCCCCGTTTTTTCTCGTGTGGGGTGTCGGGAAAACCAGCCCTGCCACTACATTCTGCCAAAAGACAGGAAATTTTTAAGAGAGTATTACAGTTTGTTTCAATGTGTTAAGTGTCAGGGCTTACTATCTTTGGGATACTTAGAAACTTATACAACACTAGCAAAGTAATACATTGTATAAAGTTAAATTATGTACAGGCTGACTGGCTCACTCCTATAATCCCAATGCTCAGGAGACAGAAGTAGGCAGATCTCTGTGAATTCCAGACAAACCAGCATTACACAGCAAGACTGTTTACCAGTGCTACATAGTCAGATTGTTTAAACACCCCCTCCCCCCAATTATGAGCCTATTCAAAAAACACCATTCAACGATGGGGAAGCTGTTGAGTGTAATGGTGCCTGTCTATAATCCCAGTACTCCAGAGGCAGTAGTCTGGGGTTATATAGTAAATTTCAGACCAGTCACAGATATATACCATGAGACTCTGTCTCAAACAAACAGGAAAACAAAACAAAACAAAACAACCTTCTGTTTTTGTTCTTTGAAATACCATATATTATGTAGTCCAAAACTGCATCACTGGAGCTCCCTGCCCAACTTGTAGGCAGCACCAAGGATTTCTTTTCTCTCCCAGCAATTTTTCACTGTTTATATAACTTTACAGGAGGGACCTTTTTAGAGTCTTATAAATTTTATGAGCTTCCAGAGTCTTGTTAGCCTCCTTCCTCCCTCAGGAAGGGATGTTTTGATCAGGAGGCAGAGGCAGACAGATCTCTCCCAGGTCAACCTTGTCTACATAGCAAGTTCTAGGCCAGATGGGGCTATAGAGAGACCGTCTCAAAAAGCCAAAAACCAACACCCCCCTCCCCTGCCACCTCCCCCCCAAAACATAAAAAAATACCAAAAATCAATCAGCGGCATTGAAACCAGATCTCATTATGTAGTATGACTTCGGTCTCCTAAATTTCCTACCTGTTTCCCAAGCACTGGGACCACAAACATATTGAGATCCGTTCCCCCAACTCTCCCAGTGACATCCCCCAGTTTCCTTGAGATATCATCTGTTACTGGCTGATCTGGAATTTCTGAGTTCAAGAAATCCTCTAACCTCAGCCAGTCAAAAGAAGAGAATTTTAAAGAATATGGCATAAATTCAGTTTGTCTATATGTTGCAAGCCTCAGGACTATCTTTTCAGTGTTCACATAGTTATGCTACATAACAAGGTAATGAATTGTATGAAGTGAAATTTTATGAGCATATACAAAACCCCAACAATGGGAAAGCTGCTGGACAGTGGAACTTGCTGGACAGTGGAACTTGTTAAACCCAAGCACTCTAGAGGGACGTAGACGCAGGAAGATGAAAGTTTGAGGTCAGTTTAGGCTACACAGCAAAAGAACCTGTCTTTAACAACAACAACAAAAAAGCAAAGCAAGAAAACAAAATTACAATATAACAGGAAAACTATCAAGTATATGAATGAAAAATAGAATTATTACTCTTTAATAATTTCAATGCTACCTCAAACTCACCAAGAAAGCCTAAATGCTGAGATTACTGGTAAGAACCTTAGAGCACAGCCTTTAGTTATTTAAATGTAAAAAAGAGGAAGAGCCTAAAAGGAGTAGTTTTGGTGGATTTAAGAACTCTGTTAAATGGATTCTGCCTATTATAAAGAATTCTAGCAAATCTGCAACTGTGAAGCGTTGGGAGCCCACCATGATTATTCCTTTATGTAATTCCCGAAAAACAACTCAGTAGTTGAAGTACCTTGACTATTTTAAAGACATGGAGGAGCTGGAGAGATGGCCCAGCGGTTAAGAACACTGGCTGTTCTTGCAGAAGACCTGGGTTCGAATCCTGGTACCCACATGGCAACTACCTAACTGCCCCTAACTTCAGTTCCAGGGGAGCCGACAGCCTCTTCTGCCCTCCAGGGGCACTGCACGACATGGGTGTGCTTACCTATATGTGGGCAATATGTACACATATTTTTTAAAAATGTAGGGGAAAAAAAATAAGCCAAAGCATATTCATCAATAATTTAAATCATTGGATATCATTTTAAAGTATGGTAGGTTAGTTTCTAGAGCTGAATGCTACTTCTATTGTTTTGGTTCTTAAAATGTTTCCTTTAATTATGTGTGTACTGTTCAGGTTCATTTGCTCCAATATTTACCTTAAATTGCTCAAACACTGCTGCACTTTTTCCTTGGCAATCCTTTTCTTTGGATGGAAGCAAAAGTTAAAACCTCGATGTAGCTATAGTTTTTTTTTTTTTTTAAACGAGGTCTCTCAAACTCACAAGAACTAACTAGCTAATTTGTAACTCTAAAAACCTGCTCCTCTTTTTTCTGCGTCTGGTCAGTTTAGGGGTGGAAACACGTTTTCAGCCGGTTCCCAAAGTGATTGGCAGGCCAGAGGCCCAAGAACCTTAGCTTGAGAACTCAGCCCTAACTTCCTATTCCGTAGCTTTGAAAATCTTATTAGGAGTCTCAGAAAGGTCTCCTCTAGCAGACAAGAAGTAGCAGCCCCCGTCGAGCCATGTTGTAAAACTTTCCCTCGGTCTGTGGACCTAGCTCCGAGGAGGGATGAACCATTTATCAGCCGGTCCTCCCCTTTATCAGCACACGGCCCTCCGAAGGTCCCCAACTCGTCCCCCTACCACCCCCCACGGCAAAGCTCCGCTGGGCCAGCAAGCGTCGCAGGGCCGCGTCTCCCGTAGTTCGGTTCGCTTCCCGCCTCCCGGGCTCCTCCTCCGCTAGCCCGCTCAGCCCCAGGCTTCCCGGAGGTGCCCGCGCAGGCATATCTTGGCGCCAAACGGGTGGCGGCGCTGTCCGCCCCTCGCGCCGCCGCCTCGGGCCCGAGGGAGGCGGAGGCTGGGCCGGCGGAGGAAGGGGAGGGAGCGAGGCGCGCGCTGCTCTCGCGTGCTCTGGCACCGCTCGCGTGACCGGCCCCGGGTGTGCGCGAGGCGCCGGCTCCAGGGGGACACGGGCCGCGCAGGCATATCTTGGCGCCAAACGGGTGGCGGCGCTGTCCGCCCCTCGCGCCGCCGCCTCGGGCCCGAGGGAGGCGGAGGCTGGGCCGGCGGAGGAAGGGGAGGGAGCGAGGCGCGCGCTGCTCTCGCGTGCTCTGGCACCGCTCGCGTGACCGGCCCCGGGTGTGCGCGAGGCGCCGGCTCCAGGGGGACACGGGCGGCCGGAAAAAAAAAACGAGGGGCGGCGGCGGCGCAACCACCTGACAGAGGCCGAGCGCTCGATGCACCTACCGCCCGCATGAGGTAAAGCGGCGGCCGGGCTCCCGCCCTCGGCGGCAGTGAGGGAGGGACGGAAGGGGAGACCGCAGGGGGAGGGCGCGCGCCCGAGGCCCGGCGGGGCTGCCCGAAGCGGCCGCTCAGGCCTCAGCGGTGCGGGGCGGCCCCGAGGCGGGAGACGCCGCCGGGCTTGGTCCCCGAAGTTGAGGAACAAAATGTGAAGTGCGGAGCCGCGTCCGCCGCTTCCTGGCGCGGGGCTCGGGCGGCTGGCGGGGGTGGCGGACTGGCTAGGGAGGGCGGCCGCGCGGCCGCGGCCCGGGGCTCGGTAGCACCACGGCTGTGCTCCGGGGCGCCGCCGCCGCGCGTGGGTCTGCACTGGTCCCTAGTTTTGCGGCCTAAGCCGAGCCCTAGGCCTCGCGTCTCCTTTCCCGGAGGGGACTGGGCTAGGCGGGGACCGGGCGCTTCTGTCGGGCGGATCCTGGGCCTTGGGGTCCTCGCCGTCCCCCTGAGGCCACCGAACTTCCGAGTTGGGTGCTCGGGGGTGCGATTCATTGTGAAAGGAGGAATGGGAAACTCTGGGCGCTGCTCGGCGCCGGCCGCGGCCGCGGCTGCTGTACTGCTGCTCCCGGGAACCTGGTGGCCCCGGGGCTGGCGCGAGTGGGGACGGCGGGCGGCGGCAGGGCCTGAGTCCCGGGAACTGGGCGGGTGGCGGGGCCGCCGCAGGGTCCCCGGTCTCCAGGGAGGAAGGCCTCCCCCTCCAGATTCGAGATTTTTGAAATGAAAAAAGAGGTTACAAAGTCGCCCCCTTTCCCGCTGAACTTTGGTTTTCTGACCGATAGAGGCCGGTAGAGGACTGTGAAAGAAAAGTTGTCCCCCAGGATGGACTTCACCACGCAGCCCAAGCCTGCCACTGCCCTCTGTGGCGTCGTGAGTGCCGATGGGAAGATCGCTTACCCCCCGGGAGTGAAGGAGATCACCGACAAGATCACCACGGACGAAATGATCAAACGACTGAAGGTAAGAGCCTGCACCGATGCCTTTGTGGTTTTACTTCATTCCTTGGCCTGGCCTTCAGAGTTTCTACGACCAAGTTTTTAAGATAGTGTATATCCTCTTCTCTTATCCCATCTGCGTGGTGGTGTTCTATCTTGGATACATCTTTGGATAAGTTCTGAAAGGACAGAAGGGTCATGGGAAGTTGAACTTTATTTATTTTTTATTTTATGTGTATGAGTGTTATGCCTACATGTAGGTAAGTGCACTTGTGTTGTGCAGTGCCCGCGGAGGACAGAAGAGGCTGTCGGATCCCCTGGAACTGGAGTTACAGACAGTTGTTAGCTGCCATGGGTGCTGGGATTCGAACCCGGGTTTAGTGCAAGAACAGTGTTCTTAACCGCTGAGCCGTCTCTCCAGCCCCTGAACATTTTTTTTTTTAATGTATAAGATCTCATGCGTATTTAGCCTTTTTTCCACCGGTGAACATTTTTTTAATGGGGATATTGTTTAAGTGGTTTGCAGCTTTAAATGTAGACAGTGATTTGCCCAGGAAGGTTCCTGGTTTCATCAGCTTCTGAAGGGACAGATTTGAACACAAGCAATATTTTCTCGGTTTCGCACGAATTTCTAATCTGGAAGCTTTGTATATATAGTGAAAACTTTTCACAATGTGCTGATTTTTAAAAATTAAGGCTTGATGTAAAATAATGATCTGAGTACATTTATCCAAGAGCATTTAAGGAAGAATATTATGACTTTTTATGAAGTTCATCTAGTTTTGTGTTAGTGTGGTGGTCCTAAGATCAGCGTTATTAAGTTGTAAACGTCAGTCTTGTATTGGTCAGGTTTTTGCTTCTTTTTCCATGGATATAGATTGTGGCCAGAACTTTGCCAAATGGGCTGTATGGTATCATCTTGTAGTAATTGTCAGTTTGGGCACCTTTGATTTCCCCAGGGGAATGTTGGAGGCATTTCGTTGGTCTCAGTTGGACAGTTGGGACTGGTGTGGAATTGGGGGACCAGAGGCAATAAGTCCAATTGGGAAACTAACAGTGGTCTAGGTGAAAGGTTTTTTTGTTTTGTTTTGTTTTGTTTTTTTAATATCTCATTGTTTTTCTTTTATGTATATAAGTATATTTCCTGCATGTGTATAAATGCATCCATGTCATGCAGTGCCTGTGGAGGACAGAAAAGGGCATCAAATCCCCTGGAACTGGAGTTACAGATGGTTGTTAGCTGCTATATGGTGCCAGGAATGGAACCTGGGTCTTCTGCAAGAGCAAGCAGTGCTCTTGACCACTGAGCCATCTCTCTAGCCCTAGGTGAAAGATGTTACACTCTTGAAATGGAGCTAGAAAGAGAAGGAATGAGTCAGATTAGTTTTTTGAAACCAGGGCTTATGTAGCTGGTCTTGAACTCTCTGTCTCCCTGCTTCCACTTTCTAAATGCTGGAATTACACCACACTGTTAAGAGATGTTTCAAAGCTAGAGTTCCAGACATAGTGGAAGGCTAGGGAGAAAACATTGTTGACAACTTTTAACGCCTTATGTAATTTGGTGAAATGTATTTTTACTGATCGTAGATTTTAGTATAGTGCCTAGGAAATGTGTACAATGTTTTGAGGTATTTATGTGGTTTAGTTTATTTGTTGCTTTTATTGAAAGACTTAATTTAATTCTGTTTTCATTCTTTTTTTAATAGCAGGGGGTTTTGCAAGTGTGAGCAATGCATATTAAACCCCAGTCCTGCACTTCCTCTGAGCTACACTCCAGCATAAACAAATTAGACTTTTTATTTATTAATTTTTTTAATATTTTATTATTTTTATTTTATGTGTTTGAGTGTATTTATTGCCTGCATGTATGTGAGTGTACCCATGTTGTGCAATGCCGTGGAGGTCAGAAGAGGGCTTCGGATTCCCCTGGAACTGGAGTTAAGGACAGTTTGTAGCCACCATGTGGGTGCTAGGAATTGAACCCGGGTCCTCTTGCAAGAGCAGTCAGTGCTCTTAACCGCTGAGCCATCTCTCCAGCCCCAGACTTTTTATTTTTGAGATGGGTTCTCACTGTGTAACTCTGCCTGGCCTGAAGCTTGCTATGTAGACAAGGCAGACCTCAAACTTGTGTCAGTCCCTGCCTTTCAAATGTTGGAATTATAGGCATGTGCCACCATGCCCAGTAAAACAAATTTTTTTTTTTTTTTTTAATGGGAAAGTGCTTGTGAATGGGTGCATGTGCACCTGTATATGTGCTTGTGGAGGTCAGAGAGTATCACCCTCAGAAATGCTGTTCACCTCCTTTGAGATAGGGTCTCTCGTTGGCCACTAATTAGGTTAGGTTGGCTGTTTAGTGAGCCTCAAGAATCTTCTTTTGTTTGTCTCTCTAGTACTGATGTTCCAAGTGCCTGCCACCACACAGAGCTTTTTACAGAAGTATACTGGAGATTGGGGTTCGAACTTGGGTCCTTTTCTTTGGGACACAGTCACTTTACCAACTGAGCTGTCAGTCCAGCCTGCTAAAACAAATCTTGATACTAAAGAACATGCTCATATTGGGACTTTGTTAATGCTTTCTAAAGTTACATTGAGTATTTTGAGTGAGAATCTGAACTACTATGAAAAATAAAGCTCTTAAGTAAAATTAGTGTGTCGTGTGTGTATGTGACTTATGTATGCCATCTCCCTACATTCCCTGCTTTTTTTTTTTTTTTTTTTTTTTTTTTTTTGAGACAGTCTCTTATTAGCCTGGAATTTGCCAAGTATACTAGGCTGGCTGTCCATCAGGCCCCAGGGATCCACTAATCTCCACTTCCCTAGCACTGGGATTATAAATGTGCCACCATGCCCAGCTATTTTTACATGGGTTCTGAAAATTGAACTCAGATCCTCATGCTTGCAAGGCCAGTACTTTACCATCTGAGTTATATCCCCAGTCATGAAGAGTAAAATTTTGATACTCAGTTTTTCTTTAGCCCTACTCAGTGGAATCCTAGAGTCCCTGTCTGTCATGAGGTTGGCAGCCCATTATAGGCAGAGATACACAGCTGGTGAATAAATCAATCAAACAGTTAACTAGTTAAAGGCTACTTATCCTAAAGGCAGGCATGTGGAGTACTGTGAGGACCTGGGCTTGACATTGGAAAACCAATTACTTCCAGGTTGAGGCTATCTGAGTGAGGGTCCTTGTAGATGCCTCAAATGTGAACTTGGGATTTGCAGGGAGATTAGCTTTTTCACTGGAAAGAAAAGGAGGTAGATTTGTTCTAGAATCTGTGATTGGATCCAGCTTTTTGTACTCACCCCAACACCCACCCTTTTCCCACTTCCTACTGGAGAAAGTCATCCAGCTGACAATGAGCTTTATATTTAACTGTGCTGGGATTACAGTATGTGCCACCAAATCTCAATCTCATCTTTAGTTTTTATTGTTTCCAACTTAATTGACTTTAATCCCAGCATTAGGGAGGGCAAGGCAGGGAGATTCTGTAAGTTCAAGCCTTACCACATGGCCAACCAGGGCTACAACAGTGATACCCTGCCTCAAAAAAATAAATTAAAAAATTAAAAAGAATATTGAAACTTTGAATTCTAGGGGTGAATGAGCTGATCTTTTAAAAAAAAAAAAAAATGTAGAAAACTATGGGACTGGCGAGATCAGCAGGTAAAGGTACCTGCCACCAAGCCTGCTGACCTGAGTTCCATCCTTGGGGCCCACATGGTGGAAAGAAAGGACAGAGTCCCACAGATTGTTCTCTGACCTTTATATAAAGCAAGCCATGCTTGTGCACAGACAGAATAAATAAAATGAATAGAAAATTTAAAAGAAATAAAAAGTTATGACTTCATACATTTTCTCCTTGAAATTGGGTTAAATATCAGAAGTACTCTTTTGTATGTGTGTGTGTGTGTGTGTGAGAGAGAGACAGAGAGACAGAGAGAGAGACAGGGTCTCCCTGTAGCCCTGGCAACTTATGTAGAATAGGCAGGCCTTGATCTCACAGAGGTCTGCCTGCCTCTGCCTCCTGAGTGCTGGGATTAATGGCATGAGCCACCACACCTGGCTCAGAAATACTCTTTTTTTTCTTTTTTTAAATTTTATTTTATGTGTGTGAGTGTTATGCCTGCATGTATATAAGTGCACCCATGTCCTACAGTGCCTGTGGAGATCAGAAGAAGGTGTTAGATCCCCTGGAGCTGGAGTTATGGATGGCTGTTAGCTACCATTGTGAGTGCTAGGAATTGAACCCAGTTCCTCTGTAAGAGCAGCCAGTGCTCTTAACTACTGAGCCATTTCTCTAGCCCCAGAAATACTCTTAATAAATAGTCATATAACAAAGTCATGGATCAATAGCTATCCATTTATTATGAGTTCTTTTGGAAGTTAAAGTTGATACACATTTTAATATATTTGAAATATAATTTGAATGTCCTATCTTCAAATTTAAAAGAAATAAAATTTAGACACAGACTTGCTATCTATCCCCAGGCTGGCCACAAATTTGATCATCCTGCCTGCTGCAGCTTTACAAGTTAAATGGAATTACAAGTGCGTGGTGTGGCATCACACTGAGCTTTTTTCCTCCTTTTTTTTTTTGGTGGAGATGAGGTTTTACGTAGCTCCATATGTAGCCAAGGATGGCCTTGCACTTCACATCTAAAATTCTTATTCACATCTAAAATTCTGGGATTAAGGGCATACACCACTATACCTGGGGATTGAATCCAAGACTTCATGCACGTTAGACCAGTACCCTAGCAAATGAGCTCTATATCCCCAGTCCTGTGTGTCTGTCCCTCTCCCCGTATCTATTTTAAGGGAGTGTTTCATTAGGCATCCTAGGCTGCACTCAAAACTGTAATCCTCCTGTCTTAGCTTCTGCTGTGCTAGGGATTACAAACATAATTCCAATTTTAAAAAATTTTTTTTATTATTTTTATTTTTTATGTGTATGAGTGTATTGCCTGCATGTAGGTAAGTGCACCCGTGTCATTCAATGCCCGTGGAGGACAGAAGACACTGTC